CATGAAGGCTCGACGAGCTTGCTCCAACTCCACAAGAGTTAATAGGTTTTACCAGAGTGAGACTCGTAAAACGGAACTTGTCAAAGGGCAAAGTGCCCCCCGTCGCCGAACTACGCCCGCTGTAGGTGGTAAGCGGCGCCACTTCCCACCACATCACCTCCTTCCGCTATTTCTGAAAAAATTAGTTCTAACTTTGAGGAGCAGACAATTCCGTTCGGTCACACCCTCTTTCATAGTCGTGCCCCTTGTACTGTTCAAATCACGCGTTTATGTCGAGTTACGAGTGTAACCTTCAGGACGTTTTCATCAGTCACATATCTTTTGCTGACCTCATCATTTTCATCTTCCTCTAGGATTTCGTAAATTGCTTGAGTCATCAGTCGGAACAGTTTGACGTAGTCTTCGATCAAAAAACTCTTTCAAAGGGTGTGACAAAAGGTCCCATTTTAGAGTGTCAAAATGCCCTGGAAGCAAGTGAAATCTCACGGTGGGAAAGGAAATGGGTTATGTGATGAATGAGTCGTGTAAATCAAGGAAAACAAGTCGAAATGGATAATGGAAGATTATTGTACGTGATGGAATTCTTAGTAGACATTCAACCTTTTAGATGGAGATTGGTAGAAAAATTGCACTTTAAGGGTGGGAGGGGGTCAGAAATATACCTTAGTTTTTGCTTTGCAAGCGCGCTTAAGAAGATCAGCCACTCATTATGAAGAGTCCTTGGGTGCGTGACCGCTGTCGCCCACGTTACGGCATAGCCGTAAAAATTGTTCCGCCAAAGACCTGTTGCCAGAAGCTGGCCTCTAAGAGGCAAATAACGAACTTCTTTGGGGCAACATATGCTGCTTTTGGTGAGCAATTCGCAGCTAACAAGTTTACCTAGTCCTTCTCATGGTGTAGACCATCGTGGTGGAGGGGTAGGCAGCGTGGTGGCTGGAGGCGCACTTCTTGCCCATGCTCTGCAAGAAGGACCCAACTCGTTCAAGGAAAATCCGCTACGAGTACTACGGGCTACCTTGATCTGTAGAACGGTGTGGGCTCAGTATAGCCCGAGGAGTCAGAGGGTCCTGCCGGCAGTCTCCATGACTTCATTACAAGGCCGAAGCGAGCTCCAATCCCCCTTTAAAACCCATAACGGTGCCCTTCCAGCAGCTCAGGCTAGTAGGTACTTTTTGACCCATGAAGGGTTCATACCTTTAATGCTCCACCTCCGCTCGGATGTGCCCCTGAGCGCCCAAGGATAACTCGTTAAAGTTTTTCCAAAGAGAACAACGTGTGAAAACTTCGCCTTTATGTGTTGTGTGAAAAAATATAATGGTTAACACTTGGTTGGTCATTTGTCGCGAGAGTATGCCGTTAGACGAAGTCAGCTGCGGTGGCACATGTAGCGCAACTGGTGCGAGCAGAGTGTGTGGAGCACTGGCGCGACCCAATCAGGTGCTTATTCCG